AGTTGGAAAAATGTGAACGAGGGGCAACTGGGTGGTTGAGTCCAACTCTTGATTTTGGCTCAGGTCATGATCTCAGGGTCATGAGATCAAGGCCCACATTGGGCTCTGTGCTCTGCTCTTCCTCTCTCCCTTTCTTTCTGCCCCCCCTCCCACCCCCGCTTGTGCTCTTTCTCTCTAAAATAAATAATTTTTAAAAAATGTGAATGATCGGGTAGCCGGGGTGGCTCAGTGGTTTAGTGCCGCCTTCAGCCCAGGGCATGATCCTGGAGACCTAGGATCGAGTCCGATGTCAGGTTCCCTGCATGGAGCCTGCTTCTCCCTCTGCCTGTCTCTCTCTCTCTGTGTATCTCTCATGAATAAATAAATAAAATCTTTAAAAAAAATGTGAATGATCAAGGTTTCCATTTTGCACTGATTATAAAAATCTTATGAGGTAAACAATATTTAGTTTAATTGTAAATATTATTTACTAGTTGTTTAGATACACAAATGACATTTTATTATTTAAATACATAAGACAAACTAATTTTTTACTAAGAAATATTTTCCATAAACAATGGGACTCTCTAAGAATTTGTGTTAGGAAACATCTATGTGGGATCCCTGGGTGGCGCAGCGGTTTGGCGCCTGCCTTTGGCCCAGGGTGCGATCCTGGAGACCCGGGATCGAATCCCACGTCGGGCTCCCGGTGCATGGAGCCTGCTTCTCCCTCTGCCTGTATCTCTGCCCCCCCCTCTCTGTGTGACTATCATAAATAAATTAAAAAAAAAGAAGTTTTAAAAAAAGGAAACATCTATGTTAATATTTTGTTTCCATTTGAACAGTCATCATACGGACATCAGTTTATATGACATAAACAAGTAGGGTAGATTTAGCTTTTGCCCTAGATTATTCCATGAGCCCTTACAGAGCACATTGAAAAATCTGTCTACAACAGGACTATCACACTGTCCACCTAAAAAAAGAAATCAAATAGAGTGCACAAAATGATAGGTTATTAGGTAAAAGAATTTAGTCAATTATTGTTTATACATTTCCCACAATTAGTCTCATCTGAAGATGTGTTGTGTGGTTATTGTATCAGTAGAGGACTCTTCTGTAAAAGAGCATATCTGACTATAGGGGTAAGAAGTGGCTATACATTCTAATCCCACACTATTATCAGAGCTACTCCACCCCATCTGGTGCCTCCATGCAGTTGCCTTACTGATATATCAGCTGTCCCTGGAAGCAGCTTATGAGACTGTAAAAAAATCTTTTCCAACTCTTTTGCAGGGGTAGTATAAATCAGGAGCTAAAAATTAAAATGCTGTAAAAGCATATCAATAGGTATATCAGGGGCGCCTGGGTGGCTCAGATGGTTGAGCTTCTGACTCTTGGTTTTGGCTCAGGTCATGATCTCAGTGTCCTGGGATCAAGTCCTACATTGGGCTCCCTGCCTAAGGGGAGAATCTGCTCACCTCCCCCTCTCTATCTAACAATAAGAAAATAAATCTTAAAGGGATCCTTGGGTGGCTCAGCAGTTTAGCCCCTGCCTTCGGCCCAGGGCATGATCCTGGAGTCCCGGGATCTAATCCCACATCAGGCTCCTTGCATGGAGCCTGCTTCTCCCTCACCTGTGTCTCTGCTTCTCTCTCTCTCTGTCTCTCATGAGTAAATGAATAAAATCTTTAAAGAAAAATTTAAAAAAATCTTTAAAAAATTGTGAAAAATATGTAGGCATATCAGAGAAACATGAAGGTAGAATAAAGATGTAATTATAACTTGCACTACAAAAGACTACACTTGTGCTACAAAAGCAGATTTAAACTAATAGACATGTGCCATAATACATATAATACTTGGGTAGGAAAAGAAATCTCCCCCCCCCCAAAAAAAAGGAAGGAAGTGACTAAGGAAGAAGTGACTGAATTAACATACTAAGGAAGTGACTGAATTAGGCATCAAAAATATTTATTAGGGGTGCCTGGATACCTTAGTCAGTTGAGCATCCGACTCTTGATCTCAGGTCTTTATCTTAGGGTCATGTGTTCAAGCCCCTCATTGGGCTCCACATTGGACATGAAGCTTAGGTAAAAAAACAAAATTATTAAACACTTAGATGGTGGTGGATGTGCTGTAACAAGGCTATGGACTTGGTGATGAAGAAATTTTTATATGGGGAAAATATTTTGGATCTGTGGCTTTAAGAGTAGCAATATTTAGCTTGTACAATTGTTATATCCTCACTTAATCCACAAATAAAAGATACTGACTTTTAAGCATTAAGTAAGTAGTTCTTCAGCAAGAATTGCTTTATTCTCCAGGAGACATTTGGCAATATTTAGAGACATTCTGGGGTCACAATCTGGTGGGAGAGGTGCCACAGGCATCTAGTGAATATTGTTTGAATTCCAGTCAGATCCACATAAGCCCTGGGTTTGATATATTGGGGAACAAAAAAATCAAAGGGAAGAACGGTGCTTATGTTAAAAAGGCAAAAGAAAAAAAAAGATAGCTAGATAGAGGGATGTATAGATATGTAAAAAAACAAGCAGAATTAAATGTTAATGGTAAAATCTAAATAATAGGTACACATATGTTCACTTTAAAAGGTTAGGGATTCCCGGGTGGCTCAGCGGTTTAGCACCTGCCTTCAGCCCAGGGTGTGATCCTGGAGTCCTGGGATCGAGTCCCATATCAGGCTCCCTGCATGGAGCCTGTTTCTCCCTCTGCCTCTCTCTCTCTCTCTCTCTCTCATGAATAAATAAAATCTTTTTAAAAAATTAAAAGGTTAATAAGGGAACATTACAAAAAACGATTTGTCCCTGAGTTTCACAAATTACAAGAAGTAAAGCCCTTGAGAGAAACTACTGTGGTTTTAAAGTATACCCAACATTCTTTAACTCCCTCTCCAAAGGTGGAGTCTAATTCCCCTCCCTGTGAATGTGGGCTTAACTTAGTGTTCTGTTTTAATAATTAGAATTGATAGTGTTTGGCTTCTGAGACTAGGTCACAAAGGCATAGTGGTTTCCTTCCTGCCCTCTCTCTTGGATCACTCACTTGGCAGAAAACCAAGTCTTTGGGACACTCAAGCAGTTCTTTGGAAAGGTCCAAGTGGTTGGAAATTGAGGCTTTTTGCCAACAACCAGCAATAAATTGAGAATTCCTGACAACAAGCCGTGAGGACTGCAGCCTCCTGCCAAAAGCCATGTGAGCAAGCCACCTTGAAGGCAGGTCCTCCAGCCATAGTGGTACTTTCATGACTACAACCCTAGCTGACATGTTGACCCATTAAAGATCCTGAACAACCCAGTTAAGTGCTCCTGAATTCCTGACCCACAGAAACTGTGAGATAATGCTTACTTTTAAGCTATTAAATTCTGACATAATTTGCTATGCAGCAATAGATATAGTCAACAGATGACCAAAATTTACTCAAGAAAGGGATCCTGGGTGGCTTAGTGGTTTAGCGCCGCCTTCAGTCCAGGGCGTGATCCTGGAGACCCCGGCTTGGGCTGGAGATCCTGGAGACCTTGGGCTCCCTGCATGGAGGCTGCTTCTCCCTCTGCCTGTGTCTCATGAATAAATAAAATTTAAAAAAAATTTACTCAAGAAAAATGACACAACCTGAATAGTTGCGCATCTATGAAAGAAATTGGGTAAGTAGTTAAAGACCTGCCAACAAAGAAAACTCCAGGCCTGGATGGTTTCACTGTTGAATTGTATCAAACATTTAAGAAAGAAAGAATGCCAGGTTTTAGTAGAACTGTTGCTCCTTTCAATGTCTTTTTTCTCCTCTGATTATTTTACGCTTTTTCTGTCTTTGGTTATCCGTAGTTTTACAGTGGTGTGATTCCATGTGGTTTTTCCTTTTATCTATCCTGTTTGGGGTTCGTAAAGACTCTTGAATTTGTTTCAATGCTGCTTATCAATTTTGTAAAGTTCTCCATCATTATCTTTTAAAACACTGTATGTTTCATGTTCTTTCTCCTCTTCTTCTGGGACACCAATTTCCTGTTAGACTTTATCTTCCATATTTCTTAACTTCTCTTCCATGTTTCTTAACTATTTTCATAGTTTTGTTTTTCTCCACATCATTCTGGATGTTTTCTTCTAACTTGTGCTCATTCACTAACTCTCTCTTCAGCTGTGCCTGTTCTGCTGTCAAATCCATTCACCAAGATTCTAATTTCGGTCATGTTAATTTTCAGCTCTAGTATTTCCATATTATGTAATTTTCAGTTCTGTCAAAATTCTCAAAAGTTTAGTGTATGTCTGAAAATAATATCTAGTGGTCCTGCAGATCTATTTAAACGGAAGCTTCTACTGGTTATCATTCATGTCTTTTGGTGTGGCTACTTTTTATTGTATGCCCTACAAGGTACTTGCAAAATTATTTATAGATTTGAGGCTTACTGCATTAATTTTCTATGGCTGTATAACAGAATTACCACAAATTTAGCACCTCAAAACAACAAACATTTATTATCTCATAGGCTCTGTGGGTCATGAGTCCAAACACAGCTCCACTGGTCTTCTGTTCCAGGATCTCACAAAGCCAATCAAGGTGTCATCCAGAGCTGTAATCTCAGCTGAGGTTCCAGTAGGAAGGGATCCACTTTCAAGATCACATAGTTGTAGCATGCAGTTCCTTAAGGACTATTGAACTATGGGCCTACTTTTTGCTGTTAGCCAGGGGCCACTCTCAACTGCTTGCCATGTGGCCCTCTCTGAAGTCCTATTCACAACACAGCAGCTTGCTTCTTTAAGAGTAAGAGAATTAAAAAATAATAATTAAAAAATAGTGGTACCCAAGAGGCTCAGTTAGTTAAACCTTAGACTCTTGGTTTTGGCTCAGATCAGGATCTCAGGGTGATGAGATTAAGCCTCACATTGGGCTCCAGGCTCAATATGTAGTGTTTGCGATTCTCTCTGTTCCTTCCCCCGCTTGTGCACATGCTCTCTCTCTCAAATAAATAAATAAATCTTTAAGAAATAAAAGGAGAGAATTCCTTAACAAGATGAGCATTACAATCTGATGTAATGTAATCATGTAACCTTATCACATACATCCCATCATCCTTGTGGTATTCCATTGATTAGAAGCAAATCATAGGTCACCCCCTACACACACAGAATACCAGAATATAGGGATCATGATGGGGGCCACCTTAGAGTCCGTCCTCCACACTCAGGATATTAATTTCCTCTTGAGGAAAATCAGACCTATTTCTTCTGCCAAGCACCTGGGAGCTCTAAATAGCCTAGATAATCTCATTTCATTTCCTTACTCAATACCTAAAAATAAATGTCTTTCAATGTCATCTAATTTATTAATTACAGTGAAACAAAGATTTAAACAAAGATTTACTTTTTTTAGCCTAAAAAAATAGATGGTACCAATTTTCCCCACTAAATTATATGGAAAATCTGTTTTTGGTGCTTTCTGTAATGAAAAGAAAATTCTATCAATACATAATGGAAACTCATGCCTAAAAAATGAGAGCCTAGAAATTAGCATAGAATTATAAAATTTTCAGAGCAGTTGATGTTTTATGTATGAAACATGTTTTACAATATACTCATATGAAATAGTCTTGTAAATGTTGAGTATTCCTACTGTTATATATTGTATCACTCAAGTCTGCATTGCTAATCTTGAGAAAGAACAAAGGTAAAAGTATCACAATCCCAGATTTCAGGATATACTATAGAGCTATAATAATCAAAACAGTATGGTACTGGCACAAAAATAGACACACAGATCAATGGAACAGAACAGAACGCAGAAATAAACCTAGTTTATGCGCCCAATTAACCTACAATAAAAGAGGCAAACATACAATGAGAAAGAGTCTCTTTAATAAATGGTGCTAGGAAGGGGTGCCTGGGTGGCTGAGTCAGTTAAGTGTCTGACTCTTGATTTTGGCTCAGATCATGATCTCATGATCATGAGATCCAGTTCCACACTGAGAACCACTCCAGGTGTGGAGGCTGCTTGGGACTCCCTCTCCCTCTGCCCCTCCCCACTCCCTCTCTCTCAAAAAAAAGAAAAAGAAAGAAAAGAAAGAAAAGAAAGAAAGAAGAAAAAAGCAAAAAAAAGAAATGGCTCATAGTTAAAAATAATTTTTAAAATGGTGCTGGGAAAACTGGACAGCTATGTGCAAAAGAATAAAACCAGATTTTTACACCATACACAAAAATAAATTCAAAATGGATTAAAGATCTAAATGTGAGACTTGAACCCATAAAAGCCCTAGAAGAAAACATGGGCAGTAATCTCTTTGACATTGGCCTTAGAAACATTTTTCCTGATATATCTCCTTAGGCAAAGGAGACAAAAACAAAAACTATTAGGACTACATCAAAATTTTAAAAAGTTTTTGCACAGCAAAGAGAACCATCAACAAAACAAAAAGTCAAACTACTATAAATGGGAAAATATATTTACAAATGATATATCCAATAAGGGGTTAATATCCAACATATATAAGGAACTTTTACAAGTCAACACCAAAGCAAAGATCTAATTTAAAAAATGGGCAAAAATGAAAAATGTGCAGAGGACCTGAATCAACATTTTTCCAAAAAAGATACATAGATGGCCAGAGACACATGAAAAGATGCTGAATACCACTAATTATCAGGGAAATGCAAATCAAAAGCACAGTGAGATACTATCTTACACCTGTCAGAATGGCTAGTAACAAAAAGATAAATAATAAGTGTTGGCAAGAGTATGAGGAAAAAGGAACCCTCATGTACTGCTGGTGGGAATGTAAATTGGCACAGCCACCATGGAAAACAGTATGGAGATTCAATTAAAAAAAATACAAATACTGTATGATCTAGTAATTCCACTATGGGGTATTTACCAAAGGAAAACAGAAACACTAATTCGAAAAGATATATGCATCCCAGTGTTTATTGCAGTATTATTTATAATAGCCAGAAGACAGAAGCAACCTAAGTGTCTATCATGGATGAATGCTTAAAGAAGAAATGATGTGTATACACACACTGGAATATTACTCAGCCACAAAAAAAGAATGAGAGCTTGCCATGTGCAACAACATGGGTGGATCTAGAGGACATTAAGCTAAGTGAAATAAGTCAGGGAAAGACATATAACATATGATTTCACTTATATGTGTAGTCTGAAAAATAAAACAAAGAAAGCAGAAAGACACCCATATAGAGAATAAACCCATGGTTGCCAGAGGGGTGGACGGTGGAGGGAAAGGGAAACGGGTGAAGAGGAGTGGGAGATACAGGCTTCCAGTAATGGAATGAGTTAAGTCGCAGGATGAAAGGTACAGCATAGGGAACATAGTCAACAGTACTGTAACAGCCTTGCATAGTGACAGATGGGAGTTACACTTGTGGTGAACACAGCATAATGTATAAACACGTAAGATATAAACTTGTCCAATCACTATGTTGTACACCCGAAACTAATGTAACCCAGTATCAACTAAACTTCAATTGAATAAAAAGAAAAACAACAACAAAATGGGGCTCCTGTTTGGCTCAGTTAAGCTCTGACTCTTGATCGCTGAGATCAGGTCTCAATCTTAGAGTTGTGAGTTCAAGCCCTATGTTGCTAAATAGAAATAACATACTGACTAAACTAGGATACTGGGATTATAGTCTGTGATGCTGACATAAATTTAAAATATTTGAAGAATGCTGTTACTTCATTTCAAAAAGGAAAATCACAAAAACTTCAGAGATAGATACTTCATCCCTATCTATAAAATCCTGACTTAGGGGGTGCCTGGGTGGCTCAGTTGGTTGAGTGACTGACTCTTGGTTTTGGCTCAGGTCATGATGTCAGGGTCCTGATTGGCACTAAGTGGGTAATCTGCTCAAGGATTCTTTCTCTGTTCTTCCCCTGTTCATGCTCTCTCTCAAATAAATATAAATAAATCTTTAAAAAAAATACCTATTTGAAAATAGGACATTATATATATTGGGGAATCTTTTATTCTTATGTGAATAAAGTATCAGGTTTGTTTTTAAGATCTGTAACTACTAGATATGCTTTTGAAATAAGCATCTAAGAAAGTATAATATATGACTACTCTCTGGGAATAAATTCAAAAATACAATCTATCAACCACATTTGGCAGAGGCACTAATTGCACCCACCTCAATCCAGTACTCCTTTTCCCCTCAATTTTTCCCCAGGCATATGATCATCTGGAATAAAAATTGTATTTTTCATCCTTCCTCACCATTAGATGGGGTGACCATGACTAAGCCTTAGCCAAAGAAAATTAAGTGAGGGTGCAAACTTCTCACTTACTGCCCTCTCCTTTGCTGGCTAGTGTTGATGTAAGGGAAAGAGCTTGAGCAGCAATCTTGGAATGTGAGATAGAAGCCAAGTGCTGAGGTTGCTAGAGCACCACAGCAGCCTTGTGATACTTACCTCTGAAATTCTTTTAAGTGAGAGGGGGAAAAATAAAACAACTTAAAAAAAAAAATCCACTGGCATTTGGGGTTTTAGTTTTATGTTGCTGTACCTAACCTTAACCTATACACACCATATTACTCCTTGTTGGCATGTTACTCATTTATTAGAAATTGTAAATGAGAAATTATTTCAACACCTGAGGACCAAACTATAACAGAAGATTCCATAGGTTCAAGATTTTGAGACATTCTGGAAAGAGTTTTCTGTAAAGTATAACCTTTCCGTGGCATGGCAACATCATTCTTCTTCAAAAAAGTTACTGGGCAGACATCATTTCCACCATCACCTATATAAACAATTCGTGTATAATCTATTCCCTGTTGTAACTGCTTATCTACAAATTCTACCAAAACTACATTTTTGCAAAGGTTTTTTGGGCACCTGTTGCAAGAATGAGCATGATAATTTTCCACAGTGAGATGACCACTGCTATCAAAAGCTGCGGGATTTGTAAACACTTTATCAAACACATCATGAAAACTGGTAGCTTCTAAAACCCAATCTATGAAGACTGAATTTGAATCTGAAATAATGATGCAGTCAAATTTATCCTTGTTCCTTCTTATAAAGTTCAAAAGTTCCACCATCCCTAGAGTGAAAGGCATTGATGTCACTGCTCTTTTCATTTCATCTTCTCTTACACCTCTATCTCCCAAATACTTAAAGACTCTGCCCATAAATTCTGTCCAAAATCCTTTCTTATAAGAATTTTGTAGTTCAATAGGAAGCTTTTTCTCTGGAGCACACTGTATAATCCAGGTGTCACTATTATCATCTATGATTGTATTGTCAAAGTCAAAAACGAGCAAAATTTTCATGGTTCCAAAAGCAAATCTGGGTTACCCTGAAAAAGAAGAAATATTGTTTCCTAAACATACTGTTTTACATATCTAGCTATTACACTTATTTAACAAACATTGCTGAGTGTTAATCTGCTAAAATAAAGGCCTAATCTAAAAAAGTTAAAATGATTAAGCATTTAAGACCACCATTTAATTACTTTTTCCTAAGAAGCAAAATTCATATTTGAGTATTTTAAATAAATGGAAATAGAATATCCAAAAGGATATTCACAGTATTACTGTGTTCCTGTGAGGATGATTCTTCGAACACTCAGAATTAAACTACAGATTAAGCCAATGAGAGTGAAATAATTATTCCCTTACAGTCTAATTTAGAAAAATTATAAAACATGACAGAAAAAAGTAGCCTGGCTAATCATTATTTTCTTTAAATTATCAATCACAAATTTATTAGTTTAAAATATTTACAATAATCCACATATAAACTAACAGGCTATGTATAATATAAAATAAATCCTCTGTATACTGACCTAAATTCTACCAAATTTAACACTATGAAATCTTACAAAATTTGAATAATCTTCCTAAAAAGGTATTTAGCTTGAAATCATTAATGCCAGTGTTACAACTAAATGGTTGCTTATGGTGTATTTGAAATTCTAAACAAATTACTTAAACTTGGCACCAGTTCCATCCTTCCAGACTATAAGTAACTTTTGTTAACAATTTTCAAATTTATTTTTATTTTCTAAGATAGTTCAGCTCTGGAGTACCAAATAATCTGGGTATGTGTGAAAAGTCACATTGCTTATATGACAATTACTTAATTCTTTGTTTTCATTAAATGATAATGAAGGTCATTAAATATAAGTGACCCTCTTATAAATGACCTTAGTTTTTCCTTGAGAAAAAGAAAAACTAAACTGGTCAACAGATGCTATGAATAAAAATTATCCATCTGTAAAAAAGACAGTTATAAAGAAACCCAAGAGAAGCTATAATTACTGTGTGTAAACAACAAAAAAATCTTTTTTTAAAGAGTAACTAACACTTTTAAAGATATCATAATATACCAGGCACTAGACTAAGAACTTTACAATTTCATCATCTCACTTAACTTCATAACCCTATCAAGTAGAAAGTATTACCATCATCTTAAAGATACATAAGCCAAAGCCTAAGTATGAGTTAAGTTGGTTAAGTATTAGTTAAATGGAAAAGCTGGAGTTTGGACTCAGGTACACTTGACTCCAAAGTTCAGGCTTAAAGTACCATACTCTAGTGTCTAAGAAATAAAACATTTAAAGTTTATTAATCACTTTATTTTTTTTAAGTTTATTTATTTTTTTGGAATCTCAACACCCAACATGGGGCTCACACTCACAACTCTGAAATCAAGAGTCTCATGCTCCTCCAAATGAGCCAGCCAGGTGTCCCACTTATTAATCAGTTTATTTGTTTTCTTAAGATTTTTAAATTCATTTATTCATGAGAGATAAACAGAGAGAGGCAGAGGGAGATGCAGGCTCCTAATAGGCAGTCTGATGTGGGACTCGATCCCAGGACCCGGGGATCATGCCCTGAGCCAGAGGCAGAGCCTCAACCGCTGAGCCACCCAGGCGTCCCTATTAATCAGTTTAAAATAAATACTAGGTAGGGGGATCTGGGTGGCTCAGTCAGTTAGTTTATCCAGTAGGTGAGTAGATATCCAGGAGGTGAAATGGAGAACAGAGCTTGTTGACTCATACAAGAGTTAGTATTCTATGTCTCTCAATTTAGACTATCTGGAGATTAACCTAGGAGGATATCTCTTGTTTTGTGAATTTAGGCACACAGTACATAATATTCTGACACTCTGGATCCTTGTACTCTAACTATCTAATCCAGCTATTCCAACTGGCTCCTAGAAATTTAAGTGCAGAATTCACTGTCCTAAAAACAGTGTAACAAATAGCAATAAGGCATAGTTGACAAACACATTAGTATTGCACTCTAGGCACACTTTAAATTACACATGCTTTTCAAGTATTATGAATTTATACAAAATTAAAAAAAATTTTTAAATGTAACTCGCTGGTTGAAAACTGTCTCAGGCTGATACTTAATGAGCCAAAAGTTGCCCAAATTCCTGAACTATTTATTAACCTCAAAATAATAAGATATATCATAAACCTGAAGTTAACATAGTTCTGCTGTTGAGTATTAATTTCTATCTGAAAATATACTTTTTAAAATTTCAGATCTTTTTCTAGTAGTTTTTTGTCACCATTCAACATAAACCTTTATTAAAAATACTTACCAAAAAAAAAAAAAAAAACCAAAAAAAAAAAAAAAAAACTTACCCAACTTAGTATTTCCAAGACAATTATTTTTACTTCAGAATAGGGCTTAGGTTAAACAGTCAAGACAATCTTCACCTTTAAACACCAGCCAGTTTCTAACCAACATTACTCCTACTCTATATGCAGGAAACAAAGTCTTCTGGTTTGGAGCAAAGAAACGGAGACTTCTTAACTCCTAAAATTAAAAGTATTTAAGATATATTTAAATTTATGTTTTCTAATTACGCTGTTTTCTCTTACATTAGAAAGGCACTTATTGGGAATGGGAGAAACAAAATCTTGATTAAACAAAGATTACAATGAATATACATTTTAATCCGGTGGATAAAGTCACGTGTTAGGCTGATTATGTTAAGATTTCCAGGTTCCATTTTTCCTTTTTACTTGTTAAATAATAGATAAGTACTACATTCTATTGTCAATAAACTTTTAAAATTAGTGCTATACTTTATTTTTTTTATTTATTTATGATAGTCACAGAGAGAGAGAGAGAGAGAGAGAGAGAGAGAGAGGCAGAGACCCAGGCAGAAGGAGAAGCAGGCTCCATGCACCGGGAGCCCGACATGTGATTCGATCCTGGGTCTCCAGGATCGCGCCCTGGGCCAAAGGCAGGCGCCAAACCGCTGCGCCACCCAGGGATCCCCCCTAGTGCTATACTTTAATAAAAATGCCTCCAAAACTTAAGGATGTGCACAAAAGTTTAAAGAATATGAATCTAAAAAAAAAAAAAAGAAAAAGTGAATCTATTTTGAATCCAGTTTGTTAAAATTCCAAAAGCAGTTATTAATTATTCTCTCCAAAAGCATGAGCAGTATATATTTGCCATCTCTGCAATGTTTTTATATATCTATAAACATAACATTTATATATATAAACATAACCTGTGTTTTTTACAATAATGAAAACTGGAAACTGCACAGACATCCAAGAACTGGGGACTGGTTAAATAAGATATGTGGGCGTGTGGTTGACTGTGATCGCCATGTCTTCTCACAAGACTTTCAGAATCAAGCGATTCCTGGCCAAGAAACAAAAGCAGAATCGTCCTATTCCCCAGGGGATTCGGATGAAAACTGGTAATAAAATCAGGTACAATTCCAAGAGGAGACACTGGAGAAGAACCAAACTGGGTCTGTGAGGAAGCATCGCACATCATGAAATAGCAAACATAAATGGCACACATATTTAAGCCACATGGAGATCATCACATGTTCCTATCTTATCAATATGGAAACATCCTTCCTACCCGGCCAATAGACATGTCTTAGCAAGAGAATGATTTTCTCTGTTACTATGCCTCTATACAGTAGGTTGGTTCAGTAATAAATGTGAGACCTTTCAGCTGAGCTGCTGTTGTGTCCTGATTTGTGAGGTACTGAATTCCCCCTCCTGTCAGATCTCACATAGCACCGTCGGATAGAACTTTCTGCAGTGAGAGAAATGGCCCTTGACAACGAAGTATTTCAAGTGTGGCTAGGGGACACCTGTGTGGCTCTATCTGCTAAGCGTCTGCCTTTGGCTCAGGTCTTGACTGGGAGTCAGCATGTCTCTCTCACTGCTCCTCCCCCTGCTCATGTGCTTTCTCTCAAATAAAATCTTTTAAAAAAAAAAAAAGATATGTGATAGCCGGGTAATGGAATATTTATTCAGACAATAAAAGCTAAGATCTTTAGTACAACTTATACAAGTAAATCACTAAACAGTGTGTACAGTATAATCCCATTTTTGTTTTAAAAAATGTCTGTGTACGGTGGTAGGATCATGGGTGCTTCAATTGCCGTGCATTCTTTTTCTACACCGATTTTGTAATAATTTTTTTTCCAAAGAATAATTTAAACTCTTGTTTCAGATCAAAATGCAAATGCTACCTTAACTTCACAACAAAATAAAACAAAGGAGTGGAGTCAGAGAGAGAAGTAACTAGCTCTAGCTAGACTTAGCTGTAAACATCCATGGGTTAGTTGAACTGGGTGTTGGAAGTCGAATGATATCAGACAAATTGGCAAATTATTGAGACTGAATTTTATATGATTCAATACTTTCTGTAACCTAGTTAGTTAAAATTCCAGTGAATTTTTGTTGGAAGGTAATTCTCCATGGTCTCTATTGGTTCTTCATGCTTTACAAGCAAGCCATTCACTGCTCTATGCTCTGGGCTATTGTCTCAACCTACGTGTAGTGAGAAGCCCCGAAAGGCATGCTTACTGTCCAGTAGAATAGATTAAGGTTCCCTAAGCTCAAGGTTCCTGTGCAGTATTGCAACACACTCCACGTGCAGGTGACTTCTGATCCTTTCATCACCAGGTGGCAAGCGGGGCAAAACTGCTGAGATTTTGTCCAGTGTCATGGCTCTATTTCATTTATTTCTGCGTCTTCCACAAAACTGTGGCAAGCTAAATTGTTAGCGTGCAAGTAGTATAAAATCTCTGGCCCTTCCCGAGCTCTTGACACTTTTAAAACTATGTTTCTGGGCAGCCCCAGTGGCTCAACGGTTTAGCGCCAGCCTTCAGCCCAGGGCGTGACTCTGGAGATCGAGTCCCAGAGTCCCACGTCAGGCTCACTGCGTGGAGCCTGCTTCTCCCTCTGCGTGTGTCTCTGCCTCTCTCAGGAATAAATAAATAAAAATCTTTTTTTAAATGTTTCTTTTTTTTTAATTTTTATTTATTTATGATAGTCACACACAGAGAGAGAGAGAGGCAGAGACACAGGCAGAGGGAGAAGCAGGCTCCATGCACCGGAATAAATAAATAAAAATCCTAAAAAAAATAATTTTTAAGAATAAAATAAAAATAAAACTATGCTTCCAAAAAAAAAAAAAAAACACCTCACCAATGTGCATAAGCTAACTTACATCAACAAATATTTTGTTAGTCCTTTCATACTTACCAGCATTATTACGGTGGAACATCTGATAGAAAACCTGAAGAAAAATAGCACAACTATGTGTTAGAACTTTAGTGATTAAAAATCGTTACCTCCTTTCATTTTGAGCGACTCTAGTTTGGTGCCTGATGTGTAGGTGCCCTAGCCAACTAACTGATAAAAAAAAAAAAAATTGTACTTCGATGTGTCAGAAAGGGGGGGGGGTCTTTTGAAACCAAGACTGCATCCACTTTTAACAGATTTTTGTGTTCTCAGTGGTCTGACTTGTCCCACAAATACCTTCATTTTACTATAATGCATTTACAAAGCAATTTAAAACGTCTTAAGGATCCTAACATGAATGTTCTGGGACAATATCCAAGTTTTTTTTTTTTTTTTTAATATAAGCTTCATCTAGCCTGGATCATGGTTTAGAAACCAAAGTATTTAAAAACCGATTTCTCTGTCCATTAACCTCGGCGTTTCCACGGAAGGGGGGCCTCTGCCCTCCAGCTCCCCCCCGCGAGCAGGTCTGTGGGCCGCACACACCGAGTCAGGCCTCGCTCTCCCACACACCTGCAGGGTCCGCCCCGGACGTAGGCGCAGGCACCTCGCTGGGGGTCATCCCCCGTGAGGAGCCCGGTGGACGAGGACGGGAGCGCCGGGCCGGGCCCCCAGGGCTCCTCACGGACCCGGACCACGCGTCGGCAGCCGTCCTGTCCCCGGGGCCGCTCCCGCAGGCTCTGCCCCCCGTTCCGGAGCCTGCCCCTGCGGGAAACCCGACGCGCGCGCCGCCGCACGACTTCCCGCGCAGGCGCAGTCCCGCTTTCCCAGCCCGACGGCCCCGCTGCGGCGCGTTCGCCGTTCCTCGGCCGCGGCTGCCGTCACTTCCGGCGGCGTTGCTAAGCGACTGCGCGCTTCGGCAAACATTCCACTGGCTGGGGTCCTGCTCGCCCCGCGTCGGCGTCGCCTTGCAGAGTCTCAGAGTGCCCGACGCCTCGTCAGAGATGCTGGCGCGGTTTGGAAGGCGCTGTGGAGGTGTAGGGAGGGCGAGGAAAAACACAGGTGAGCTGACCTGGCCGATCCAGGCAGGGGGGCCAAATGGGAGTTCTGGTTACTCTCTGAGAAGGGCTCCACCAACTCGAAAGCAGCCCCATGGGCATCGTTGGGCTCTGAGTAAATGCACAGGTTTGCCTTCAGATGAATGGGCAGGTGGGAAACGTTCACACAAATAGGAGGGGAGAAAAGATGAGTCAGAGACTCCTAGGTGACCAGCCTCAAGGTGTGCAGTGGCAGTTCCAAGAGTGTTGTGTTCGCTGAATTCCCTTAAGCTTTTGTTATTCGTGAGTGACTTGTAATATCTTTTGGAAATATCAATGACTTCACTAGTCTTGTCTGTGCTGTGAACCTACTGTGCCCTTAGGAACGTCTCTAATGGAAATTTCTTTCTTTCTTTCTTTCTTTCTTTCTTTCTTTCTTTCTTTCTTTCTTCTTTCTTTCTTTCTTTTCTTTTCTTTTCTTTTCTTTCTTTTTCTTTTTTCTTTCTTTCTTTTTTTTTTTTTTTTGGTTGGGAAATGTCTCAATTTCCTCATCTCTAAAGTGAAGGAGTATAAAAAATAATGCTACTTAGGTGTTGTAACCTAGATGACCTTCTATAAAAATTTGATTTTTGAATAGAAGTAGTCTAAGGGGACATCTAAAGAACTCTTTAGCAATTACAGTGATTTTGTTTTTTTAAGTCTTTGAATTCCCAATTAATGTTGTCATAGTGACCGCTTGAACTTTGGGAATTTGGACTGTCTTCGTGTCATTGCCTGAGCTTCTGTAGCAGTGGAGCCTCTTTATGCCAGATGCAGAGTGAGGGCCAGCTGCTATCCCACCAGGGGACTCTACTGGAATTTATACAATGAAGGACTCATGAAGTAGCCATGGAAGGTTCTGACAGGTTGGAGGACGTATCCCTGGGACATGTATTGAAAAAACACAATTACTGTCACATACTCACTTTCTCTTTTTTTAAAAAAAGATTATTAATTTGACAGAGCACAAGCAAGGGGAGAATCAGAGGAAGAGAGAGAAGCATGCTCTCTGCTGAGCAGGGAGTGAGATGTGGGGCTTAATCCTAGGACCCTGGGATCATGACCTGAGCCGAAGGCAGATACTTAACCAACTGAACTATCAAGGAACCTCACATACTCACTTTCTTACATACACAGTACTACAATAAAAGACTGATTTATCTAATAGGTGTTAAATAATGTTTTGCATCATTCAGTCTAAAAGTTACCATCTGAAGGATACCTGACTGGCTCAGTAGCTTGAGCATGTGACTCTTGATCTCCAGGTCATGAGTTTGAGCCCCAAGTTGGGTGTAGAGAAATAAATAAACATTTTTAAAAAGTTACCATCTCAGCCTCACTGCTAAACTGTAATCTCCATTTAGAAGAGGGTGAAAAGTAGGAGAGAGGTTCAGATATGTAGACAGCTATCTGTAAAATATCTAAAGATTTAGTGGAGTGACATCAGCCAGAAAGGTGAATGAATGATACAGTGGTAAGTATTGGGTACAAGCCAACAAGCTAACAAAAAAACTTAAAACAAAACAAAACAAAACAAAAAACTACCTGGGAACTGAGATGTTTATAGAAGGTAGAAGCTCCCTACTTATTCCTGGGAATCCCGAAGGACAAATGCATGCAGAGTGCTATACACATGCCCAGGAAATACGTGAGAATGAAGCTTTCATCTCTGGCTGAATTTGAGGCTCTATGCAAGAAAAAACGTAAAGACTAAGACAGAGTTGTAAACTACTTGCCTAAGCATTGAAGTCACGTTTCACCCGTCACAGAGACTTTCTTGGCAAAGTCTGGGAGACTTATTTAAGGAAATTTAATTTAATTTAAGGAAACTATTTAATTATTAGTTGACAACTAAACTAACCAAGCTGAAATTCCAATAGCCAAGTACAAAAAGAATACAAACTTTACAGATTTAGTTCAGGAAAAACACTAAACAAACCACAACTGCCAAAAACAAAACAAAACAAACAAAACAGCAACACACCACCAAAAAACCCCCAAACAAAACAGACTTTGAGTGTAGGGGGAATGTCAGAACATTTAGACTTGCCACATATTATTTAAAATGACGAGGCATGCAAAGAAAAAGGAAATTATGGTCCAAAAAGGAAAAACGTTTTAATAGGAACTGTTCTTGAGGAAGTCCGGTATTAGACTTCCTAAACAATTTTCTTGTGTAAATTTATAGCTATTGCAAATATGTTCAAAGAACTGTCAAAGGAACTACAGGAAAGTATTAAGGATGCTGTCTCACAAAATAGAGCATTTCAATAGAGAGATTATAAACAGGGACACCTGGGTGGCTCAGTCGGTTAAGTTTCTGCCTTCAGCTCAGGTCATGATCTCAGGGTTCTGGGATGGAGCCGAGTCCAGCTCTCTGCTTGGCAGGGAGTCGGCCTCTCCTTCTCCCTCTCCTACTCTCCCCAGCTCATTCTCTCTCTCAAATAAATAGGTGATATCTTTGTTTTAAAAAAAGAAAAAGAAAAGAAGTTATAAACAGAAACCAAATAGAAATTTTTGAGTTGAAAGCACAATAGTTTAAATGAAAAATTCACTAAAGGGTCTCAGTAGCAGATTTGAGCTTGCAGAGGAAAAATTCCATGAATTTTTTTTTTAAACTTTATTTATTTATTTATTCATGAGAGACACACAGAGAGAGGCAGAGACACAGGCAGAGGGAGAAGCAGGCTCCATGCAGGGAGCCCGACGTGGGACTCGATCCCGAGTCTCCAGGATCACGCCCTGGGCTGAAGGCGGCGCCAAACTGTTGAGCCACTGGGGCTGCCCAAATTCCGTTAAATGTTGATTGAGATTGTCCAGTCTAAGGGATAGGAAGAAAAAAGAATGAATAAAAATGAGCAGATCCGGGCAGCCCCGGTGGTGCAGTGGTTTGGTGTCGCCTTCGAGTCCCACGTCAGGCTCCCTGCTTGGAGCCTGCTTCTCCCTCTGCCTGTGTCTCTGCCTCTCAGTCTCTCTCTCTCTCTCTGAATAAATAAATAAATCTTTAAAAAAAAAAATAAAAATGAGCAGATCCTCAGAGAAATGTAGGGCACCAACAAGTATACCAACATACATATAATTTGAGACTTAGAAGAGGAGAGAAAGAAGTAGAAAATATTTGAAGAAATAATGATTGTAAACTTCACATATTTGATGAAAAACTTTAATCTACATATTAAAGAGCTCATTGATCTGCTAACTAGGATAAACTCAAACAGATCCAGAACTAGAAATATCATGATCAAACTGTAAAAAGACAAAAGCAAAGATAATCTTGAAAGAAGCAAGAGAGAAACAATGCAACACATACAAATGGGCCTCAATAAGATTACTAGCTGGTTTCTCATAAGAAAACTATGGAGAGGGGCAGCCCGGGTGGCTCAGCGGTTTAGCGCCGCCTTCGGTCCAGGGCCTGATCCTGGAGACCTGGGATCGAGTCCCACCTCAGGCTCCCCCCACATGGAGCCTGCTTCTTCCTCTGCCTGTGTCTCTGCCTCTGTGTGTGTGTGTGTCTCATAAATAAATAAATAAAATCTTAAAAAAAAAAAAGAGAGAGAGAGAGAGAGAGAGAAAGAAAACTATGGACACCAGGGGTGCCTGGGTGGCTTAGTCAGTTAAGCATCTGCCTTTGGCTCAGGTCCCAGGGTCCTGGGATTGATTGAGGAGCCCCCTGTCAGCTCCCTGCACAGGGAGCCTGCTTTCTCCCTCTCTCTCTCTGCCGCTCCCCTTGCTTGTGCTCTCTCTCCCTCTCTCTGTCAAATAAATAAATAAATAAATAAATAAATAAATAAATAAATAATCTTTAAAGAAAAAGAAACTATGGAGTCCAGAAGGCAGCAGGTTGACCTATTCAAGGTATTGAGAGAAAAAGACTTAGAGAATTTCATAACTAAGAAAACTTTTCAAGTATTTCCAGGTAAATAAAAACAGCAAATTTATTACTAGTAGACCTTCCCTACAAGAAATACTAAAAGGAGCCCTTTCACATTTCAGTGTGAAATGAAAGAAGAGTTAGACTAATTCAAATTCACATGAAGTTACCAATTAAGGCAACCACATAAGTAAATATAAAAGACTACATAAGTGTATTTGTAATTTTTTTCTTCTGATTTAAAAGACAATTGCAAAAGAAATAATTATAATTCTGTGTTTATGGGCGTATAATGTATTACAGTAGCACAAAGGGGAGGTGAGAAACTGGAACTGTATATGAAAAGAGTTTTTGGGAACCATTGAAAATGTATTAATCTGAACTAGATTATGATAAACTAAGGTGTTATCATAATTCCCAAGGTAACCACTATAAGAAAACCACAAAAATTACAGTAAAAAATGGACAAGGTAATTAAAATGGTACAGTGGAAAATATTTATTTAACAGAAAAAGGCTCTTTTGAAAGCATAAAGGAACAAAAAAGCTATAAGACGTATAGAAAACAAATATCAAAATGGCAGACATAAATTTTACCTTACTAGTAGTTACATTAAATATAAGTGAGTTCAACACTTCAGGGAAAATACGGACTGGCAGACCAGATTTAAGAAATCATTATTCAACTGTCCGTTGTCTACAAGAGACTCACTGTAGTTTCGAAGACATAAATAGATTGAAGTTAAAAAGATGAATAAAGATACATCATGCAAACAGTATTCAAACGAGAGCTGGAGGGGCTGTAATAATATCAGATAGAATAGACTTTAAGATAAAAATCGTTGTTAGAGATAAAGAACATTTTATACTGATTGATGATTGATCAATTCATCAAGAAGATATAATAATTATAAACATATATGCGGGCAGCCCTGGTGGCGCGGTGGTTTGGCGCCGCCTGCAGCCCAGGGTGTGGTCCTGGATACCTGGGATCGAGTCCCCGTCGGGCTCCCTGCATGGGGCCTGCTTCTCTTTCTGCCTGTGTCTCTCCCCACCCCCCATGAATAAATAAATAAAAATCTTAAAAAAACAACAACATATGCATCTGTCATCAGAGCCCAAAACACACGAAGCAAAAACTGACAGAATTAAAGGGAGAATTAGCACAATAATAGTTGGAGACATCAATACCCCACATTCAATTATGTACAGAATTACTACACAGGAGACCGATGAGGAAATAGATGACTTACTGTGATAAACCAACAAGGTCTAACAGATATCAATAGAACATTACACCCAACAAGAGCAGAATATCTATTTTTTCAAATGTACATGCAACATTCTTCAGGATAGGCCACATGACAGGCCATAAAACATGCCTTTATACATTTAAAAGGATGGAAATCATACCAAATGTATTCTTCAAAGCCAGTGGAATGATATTAGAAATGAATAATAGAAATTTGGAGAATTCACAAATATGAAGAAACTAAATTCTTTTAGATTTTAAAAAACTGGGTCAAAACCACAAAATGGTGGCTATTAGAATGGTTAGAATGGCTATTCTCAAAAAGATAAGAAATAAATGTTCATGAGGATGTTGGAAAAAGGGAAGCCTTGTCCTCCTTGTTTTGGGGAATGTAAATTTGTGCAGCCACTATTGAAAACAGTATGGAGGTTCCTCAAAAAATTATGAATAGAATTATCATATGACCCAGGAGTTCCACTTCTGGGTACTCACCCAAAGAAAATGAAGACACTAATTTGAAGTGATATTTACGCAGCATTATTTACAAGTCAGGAGGGAATAACCTAAGTGTCTATTGATGGATAAATGAAATGATGGATAAAGAAAATATGGTTTATATATATAATAGAATATTATTTAGACACAAAAAAAGAATAAAATCTTGCTATTTGCAATAACATGGACTTTGAGGGCAATATGCTGAGAGAAATGTCAGACAGAGAAAGACAAATACAGTATGATGTCACTTATATGTAGAATGTAAAACAAAAACAAAAACTCTACAAAACTCTCCCAAAAGACAAGCTCGTAGATACAGAGAACAGATAGATGGTTGCCAGAGGCAGGAAGTGGGCAGTGGGAGAAATGATGAAGAGGGGGTCGAAAGGTACAGATTTGCAGTTATAAAATAAATAAGTCCTGAGGATGTGATGTACAGTGTGGTAACTATAGTTAATAGTACTGTATTGCATGATTGAAACTTGCTAAGGGAGTAGATCTTAAAAGTTTTTGTCACAAGAAAAAGATATCAATATGCTGAACAATATGTTAATCAAAAGGTAAATGGTTTAACCTAGTAGCCTTTGTTTAGTTAGCCTCTCATTGCAATTTAGGCAAAACAAAGGAAACTTGTTACAAGGATGTATTTGTCAGGACTCTTTGGTTACAAGTGACTAATCAAACTCATAATAGTTAAAACAAGAGGGGAATATTTTGGCTCATAGAGCTTGGAATTTAGGTATAACTTGATCCAGAACACTATTCTAACTTCTTCCCAGGTTTGCTTAGCTTTATTCTGTAGGCAGAGACTTGATATGTGACAGACAAGATGGTACCTGTGGTTCTAAACTCTTACTTTACTTTAGCAACCAATTTCTCAATCCCATCAACCTTAATGCAAACCCCAAGAAGACACTAGTTGATTGTGGCAGCTTTTTTCTTGGTATCTTTATCTCTTTCTGGTGCCATGTGATTTCTTGCTTCTGCTTTTCTCTGTACTGCAGTTTCATTAATCTAATAAAAATAGTAAACATAATAATAGCTGATATTTATTGAGAACATATTGTGTGCCACCCCTATTCTAAGTTTTTTACAAATATAACTTCATTTAATTCTCACACCAACCACATAAAGTAGGTCCTATTAGTATCTCCATTTTGCAATTAAGGAATTAGAGAGTTAAATAGTTTTGCCTAGATTTGCATAGTTCATATGTGGTATGTTCATTTAGGATGCTTTTTAATTCCTATAGAATACCCAACTCAATCATGTTTAAAAATAAGGAAATTTATTTGCTCATATAACAGGAACTCCAGGCTTCCAGGTCTGATTGATTTAGCATTACAATGAGATCCTCATTCCCCTCTGTCCTCCTTTGTTTTTCATTTGTGGTTCACAGTAATAAATTCATTGTAAGGCTATTTCCTTTTGTGGTCATAGGATGGTTGCCTTTCTGTTCTTCATGCTTCCTGTTCATATCTAGTTAAAGAGTCACTCTCAGACGTCTCTCCCAGAAGAACAAGAAGGAACTTTTCTAAAAGTCTCAAATAAATCTCTTTTCCTTTTATTTGCATATTACAGAAATAATTATTGGGAAGGGAGATGCAATTATTCTTAAACTAATGAGGCCCACTTGAGACTGTAGTTAGTTGTCCAGATTACATTGCTGCTACTCAGGAAAGAGTTGAATAGAGTTAGTCATGATGTCTACAACTTAAATAGATGAACATCCCCCAAATTATCCATTTATAGACTGCTACTTGGTCAATTTTGAAAAAAAGCTTTAATAACAACTTGTTGGGGTAGGTATTATTGATCTCAACTTTAACGATGTTGATATTGAGTTTCCAAAAAGTTGAATGACTTGCCTAAGTTTACAGAGTACAGAAATGACCAAGGAATGACTATCTTTTGATTTCAAGTTCTTATATACTTTCCATTTAATCTTAATGTTCTTAAAATAGCAAGAATAAAATTATTATTTAAAACAATTTCCAGGGGAAGCCCGTGTGGCTCAGTGGTTTAGTGCCGCCTTCGGCCCAGGGCCTGATCCTGGAGACCTGGGATCGAGTCCCACGTCAGGCTCCCTGCATGGAGCCTGCTTCTTGCTCTTCCTGTGTCTCTGCGCCTCTCTATCTCTCTGTCTCTCTCTCTCTCTGTCTCTCCTGAATAAATAAAATCTTAAAAAAAATAAAACAATTTCCAGATATCATGATACTATAGAAATGTCTGAGAAAAAATGTTAAACTCTTGAAGGTCTTTAATAGTCATTTTTTAAAATTTATTAGAAATAAAGAACTCTGAAGAAGATCAGACTCTCCACCCACCTCTTCTGCCTAGCACGGTAGATCTTCGGCAGGTTACCATAATTCCACACAATGAGTGGAAAAGGATTCGAGATAGCCTTGACAATTTGACAAGAAAAGCAGCATGTCTTCGTGCAGAGAGAAAGGCAAAGAAAGAAATGCATTTCCGATCCCAAGAAGTAGTAAAACATTGGACTAATACATATGCAGTAAGTATTAATCACCCAGGAGTACACATGCACCAAAGACTCACTCTTGTTTCTTAGTACCCCTTTATAAATATTTTTTTGCATGTAAAATATCATAAAAATGCTTTGAAACACATTTTTAACAGCTTTATTTAAGAGAAATGACATACAGTAAGACATATTTAAAGTATACAATTTGGTAAGTTTTGACATATTTACACATCCCTGAAACCATCATTATAATGTTCATATAATGAACATTCTCATCACCCAAAGTTTCCTCTTACTTGATTTACTCCCTCTCACTCTTCCCCACTCCTCTTTGCCTGTCTCCAGGCAATTGATCTGCTTTCTTTCTTTTTTTGTTCAAGATTTTATTAAGTAATCTCTATACCTACACTTGGGGCTCAAACTCACAACCCCATTTGTATGCTCTATTAACTGAGCCAGCAAGGTGCGCCCTGATCTGGTTGCTTTCTTTGTTTTTTTTTTTTTTTTAAGTTTATGTATTTGAGAGAAGGAAAGAGAATGCACTTGTGCACACATAAGTAGGGGGAAGGACAGAGGAAGAGGAGGGAGAATCTCAAGGAGACTCACTGCTGAGCACAGAGCCAGATTCAAGGCTCAATCTCACAACCCTGAGATCATGACCTGAGCTGAAATCAAGAGTCTGTCACTTAACTGCCTGAGCCACCCAGGTGCCCCTGCCTTCATCTGCTTTCTATTGTAAATTTCATTCAACACAATTATTTTGAAATTCCTTCGTGTTGTTGGGTGTAGCAATTGTTCATTCATTTTTTTTTTCTGGTGCGTCATCACTTTACTCAGGGCAGCAGGTGATGGGGGGTGACTCTGTTCCCCAAGCGCACCCTTGACCCCCCAGCCTGTGCGGGGCCCCACAGGGACGTGTCTGGAGGTGTTCATTCATTTTTATTGCTGAGTAGAAGTATGCCATTGTATGGACCTACCACAGTTTATCAGTTCAATTGTTGATGGTTTTGGCATCAACCAAAAGTTAATATATGAGCTGTTTCCAGTTTTTGGCTATTATAAATAAAAGCTGCATATGAACATTCATGTATGAGTCTATTGGTGGACATATGCTTTCACTTCTCTTGGGTAAGTATCTTGGTAGAATGGCTGAATAATATAATGGTTGCATATTTAATTTTAGAAACTTCCAAACTGTTTTCAAAAGTAGTTGTAATTTTACACTCCCATAAGAAGTGTGTAAATGTTCGGTTCTCTCCACATTCTTGCCAACTTGCTATGGTCAGTCTTTTTAATTATAGGCGTTCTAATAGGTGTAAAATTGTATCAAACTATAGTTTTAATTGAAATTTCAGTAATTACAATGATTCTGAATATCTTTTCACGAACTTATTTTCTGTTGTCTATCTTCTTTGGTGAAGTGTTTATTCAAATCTTTTGCCCATTTTTTTTAAAGATTTTACTTATTTATTCATGAGAGAGACAGAGAGAGGTAAAGACACAGACAGAGGGAGAAGCAGGCTCTATGCAGGATGCCTGATGTGGGACTCCATCCCGGGACTCCAGGATCATACCCTGGGCTGAAGGCAGCTACTAAACTGCTGAGCCACCCAGGGATCCCTTTGCCCATGTTTAAATAGGGTTTGTTTTAGTGCACCTCGGTGGCTCAGTCAGTTGAGTGTTTGATTCTTGGTTTCAGCTCAGGTTGTGATCTCAGGGTTGTAGAATCAAGTTCCAAGTCAGGCTCCACGCTCAGCTCAGAGTCAGCTTGAGATTCTCTCTCTCCTTCTGCCTCCCCTCGGCCCTGTGTCTCTTTCACTAATATAAATAATTAAATCTTTCAAAAAATAAATGGGATTTGTTTTCTTATTATTGAGTTTAGGGAATTTTAAAAATATATGCTTTTTATAAAGATATTTTATTATTTGTTTGAGAGAGAGAGAGAGCTGGAGCACAGGGGAGGAGCAGGGGGAGAGAGTGAAGCAGACTCCCTGCTGAGAAGGGAGCCGAATATGGGACTTAGTCCCAGGACCTCAAGATAGAAGGTAGAAGCCGAAGGTAGAAGCTTAACCAACTGTCACCCAAGTGCCCCAGAATTTTAAAAATATATTCTGAAGGGGCAGCCCGGTGGCTCAGTGATTTAGCGCCGCCTTTGGCCCAGGGCGTGATCCTGGAGACCCTGGATCGAGTCCCATGTCAGGCTCCCTTCCCTGCCGGGAGCCTGTTTCTCCCTCTGCCTGTGTCTCTGCCTCTCTCTCTGAATGAATGAATGAATGAATAAATAAATAAATAAATAAATAAATAAATAAATAAATAAATAAATATTATATATATATATATTATATTTATTTATTCTGAATACAAGTCCTTTATTAGATATTAGATTCAAAAATATTTTTTCCTAGTTGTGGGAAGGGACACAAAAAGCTTGTACTACCTTGCTTTAGGAACAGTATTCATAATTTATTCTTTTTTCTAGAGGAGGGATACATTTTTTTAAGACTTTATTTATTAATGAGAGATACACAGAGAGAGGCAGATACATAGAGGGAGAAGCAGGCTCCTCTCAGGGAGCCCGATGTGGGACTTGATTCTAGGACCCTGGGATCATGCCCTGAACTGAAGGCAGATGCTCAACCACTGAGCCACCCAGGTGTCCCTAGAAGGGGGATAAATTATATTGTAACTAATATCATATGTTACATATATTACATTCTGAAAAAGGCAAAAGTATAGGGAAAGAAAACAGATCAGTGGTTGCCAGGGACTGCAGATGGGGGGAGTGATTGGTTTATCAGGGAATGAGGATATTTTTGGAGAGGATGGAACTGTTCTATAAGCAATTATGCATTTGTAAAACTGTACACTAAAAAGGAGGTATGTAAATTACACTTTAAAATTTACTTTAGACAAGTCCCTGGTCCATAAAGACATGGAGGAGTGGAATATACCATATATATAGACAGAAGTAGCATACTATACATAATACTTTATATCTCCATGGTTGTAAAAGAATAAGAAATATAGTTAATGTGGTAGCAATGTAGTATTAAGAACTGTTTTATGGACACAAAGATTGAGAAAGTCATAGATCAGAATTGAGAGCCTAGAAACTATCACATGTTATAGGAACTTGACATATGATAGAAATGTCATTCAAGACAGAAGGGAAAAGATTGGGAATCCTATCACTAATACTGAGATAATTGGCATATGGATAGTTGAAATTATATCCTTAGGATATAGAATATACAAAAATGAACTTCAGCTGAATGAAAGACCCAGATGTGAAAAGTACAACAGTAAAAATTTAAAATAAATCATAGAACATCTTCAGGATTTTAGGGTAAAGTTTTCTTAAGACATGGAAAGTATGACCCATAAAGAAGAGAGATTTCATCCAATATGACACATTAGACACCTTACAGGTTTAGAAGAGCATGTAAGTATGCTGCTGTTGATTTTTTAAAGGAATAAAAGTAGTAATACATATATTTTTATGTAAATATGGCAAGGAACTTTGGAAGAAAATATAAGAAACTAATAATAGCGGTTATCTTAGAGATTGTTGATGGAAGTTAGGATTAGAGGGAGAGCTTCACTGTTTACCTTTATAATATTTTGGGATTTTTAACCATGTGAACATGTTACCTACCAAAAAAATTCAATTAAAATATTAGCTTGTAAGTGTAACCTGTCTTTTTATTAATGATATATGCAGATACAATAAAAACTCATAATGAAAGTTCAATTTTGAAATTAAATTGAAAAATGAAAACAGAAGACTGCTTTTTTCTTTTTTCAGGGGATGAAAGAACAGAAACTTGAAGCCAAAAAGAAGCGTGATGAAGAAATAGAGGCAGAAAGACAAATTCTTGATGTGGAGGAAGAAATATACAAACAAGGAGAAAGAAAAAAGGCTATTGAATATGCAAAGCAATATCAGTTTTACCAGACAGAAAGAGTGAAGAACTTTCATGTACTACTTGGGTTTTCTTGCATTTCTGTATATATTTAACATATCTATACATAATTAAGCTTTTTTTTAATGCCACAATTTTTTTTTTTTTTTTGTAGTCAGGACTTCTTCTTAGTAGAGTAATGAAAGAACGTGATGCACAGATTGAATACCAAAAGAAGAAAATAAAATCAGATAAAAAATGGGAAGAACAATTGAAACTCAATGTTGAAAAAGCTTTTAAAGAAGAACAAGAAAAAGCAGAAAAACGACGCAGAAACAGAGTGGCTCTTGCCAATGATCATTTAAAACAGTATGTATTTATAAATTACCTTTTTTGTACCTTTTTCTCACAAAAGCTTTTTTTTCAGATCATAAAAGTAATACATGCTGAAATACCTAGTAAGTAGAAAAAATACAAAGAAAGGTTAAAATTCTCTATTACTCTCTTACCCAGAAATAATATATTAGTTACTATTGTCACAATAATGCTGCATAACAAGCAACCACACAGTCTAGTGTCATTCAACAATATCATTTATATCTGATGCATCTGTGGGTTGTTTGAGCTTGGCTGCACAGCTTTTCTTCAAACTGCAGGACTATTTGTGTTTGCTGGTTGCTGTGGAAAGGACTCTGATCTGCTCCATCCATGTATATTCATTTTTAAGGTCCAGGATGAAGGGACAGCAGACACTTGGGGAAACTTTTCTCATAGTATTGACAGAGATGCAAGTGAATGAGACCAAGCTTACAACAATGTGGCTAAGTCAAGGACAAAAGCAAAGGAAATACACTTGATCTACCATAAGTCTAAAATAAATCATATGGCCAGGTCTAACCACGGGACAGAGAAATAAACTCCCGTGGAAATGGGAAAGAGAGTGAGTCGTTTTGAGCAATAATCTAATCTATAACAATCTGTTACTGTTTTGGTATATCAGTATAGACGTTTTTTTGGCAGTGGTGGTGGTGGAGGGGGTCAGATTCATTGAGCTATAATTTAGATTTATTAATAAAATTCATCTTTTAAATAGCATATCGCTGTATATAACCACCTCTAAATCCTGATTTAGAATACTTCTTCACCCCAAAAGTTCCCTCATGCCCCTTTGTCCCCTCAGTCCCTGACAATCATTGAGCCACTAATACAGACTTTTTCCCTAAGCATGTACTTATATTTTATAAAATGATATTGGATCAATAGTATCATTTTATATATATATATATATATATATATATATATATATATTTATATATTATATATATATTTATTTATTTTTTATATGATAGTCACAGAGAGAGAGAGGCAGAGACATAGGCAGAGGGAGAAGCAGGCTCCATGCACCGGGAGCCTGACGTGGGATTCGATCCCGAGTCTCCAGGACCACACCCTGGGCCAAAGGCAGGCGCCAAACCGCTGCGCCACCCAGGGATCCCTATATATATATTTTTAAATGGGAAGCTGAGTTCTTTTTTTTTTTTTTAAGATTTTATTTATTTATGCATGAGAGAAATAGAGAGAGAGAGGCAGAGACACAGGCAGAGGGAGAAGCAGGCTCCACTCCATGCAGGGAGCCTGACATGGGACTCTATCCCGGGTCTCCAGAATCCCACCCTGGGCTGAAGGCGGCGCTAAACCGCTGAGCCACCAGGGCTGCCCGTATCATTGTGTATTTTTTCACTTACCAGTATATCATGAGGTCTTGCTATGTCAGTAAATAGAAATCAAACAAATCTTTTTTAAGAAGTAGCTACTCCTGATATATATGTATATCAGGAGTGGGGATTGTATTTGCGTATAATTTTACTTACTTTTCTAAATAAGTGATATATGCAAATAGGAAAAGTCACAAAAGGGATTCAGTAAAAAGTCTCTTCCTTGTCTACCGGCAACCTTGTTTCTCCAATGTGAGACCTATCAGTTTTTTTACACTGTAGTTTAAGTGTGCATAAATTGTGTAAATTATCAAAACATTTTAAACAATATTCTACTTTTGGGATGCCTGGGTGGCTCAGCAGTTAAGCGTCTGCCTTCAGGTCAGGTCGTGATCCTGGAATCCTGGGATCAAGTCCCACATCGGGCTCCCTGCATGGAGCTTGCTTCTCCCTCTGCCTGTGTCTCTGCCTCTCACTCTGTGTCTCTCATGAATAAATAAATAAAATCTTAAAAAAAAATTTACTTTTAAAGAAAAAAATTATTTTTGTACTTACACATACCATTAATATGTGATCATTATAGAATTACAAAATACAATAAAACAAAATGAAAATTAAAATCACTAGAAACTCTGTGATCCAGAGTAGGTACTATTAACATTTGCACATATATTTGTCTTCTTTTCAAAGTTATTTTTTAAATTTTGCAATAATAAATGAATATATGGTTGTTTAAAATTCAATACAGCAAAACTTAGAATAAAATTGAAAAGTCCATCTTCATATCCACCCTTTTCAATGTCTCTTTAACGCCCATTTTCCTCTTAACAAATAACCATTATGAATAGTTTTGTGACAATCCTTTCAGAATGTTTTATTACTGTTACTAATATCTGTATATATAGGACACATTTAAGTGTGTATATATATTTTACCATGGATGTTTTACAATCTATTTTTCTATGTCTTAATTTTTTCACTCAACAGTATACCTTGAATATCTTTCTTGCCAGAATATACGGACCTGTCACATCTTTTAAAATAATCATAGTATACACTAAGAATGTACTATTATTTATTTAACTATGTTGTTATTAAGGGAAGTTCGGATTTTTCCCTCTTCCATTTCTAACAATGCTGTAGTGAATATCCCCAACCATATATATTTTGTGCCTTTTGTGCAAAGATATATCTACATAGGGTAGATTTCTTGAACTGAGCTTGGATTTTATAGGTGGAGAGATACTGCCAAACTGCCCTTTGAGAGGCTTTAAGTATGTAATTTTTTTTAAAGATTTTTATTTATTTATTCATAGACACAGAGAGAGAGAGAGGCAGAGACACAGGCAGAGGGAGAAGCAGGCTCCATGCAGGGAGCCTGCCATGGGACTCGATCCCGGGTCTCCAGGATCATGCCCTGGGCTGAAGGCAGCGCTAAACCGCTGAGCCACCCGGGCTGCCCTTGATATCCTTTTCTTTATGTTATAATGAGTTCTGGACAGTACTTTTTTTATAATTTAATATGCAAAAAATAATATATTTTAATTTATATTTCTCTTTTTCATGTGTAAATATTCCTCAGTTTTGGTTTTTGTTATCATAAATTGGTTACTCCATTGTTGTGTAAGTTGTTTCATACTGGTATGTATGTCTGTCATTGATTAAAAACTGATTAATAAGCAGTTTTTATATGTGTTGGATATTAACCTTTATTAGACATATTGCAGATTTTTGTCATCTTTTTGAACAGTTTTAGTATTTTCTTTTTAAAGATTTTTTTTTAAGATTTTATTTATTCATCATAGACATAGAGAGAGAGAGAGAGAGAGAGAGAGAGAGAGAGGCAGAGACACAACAGGCAGAGGGAGAAGCAGGCTCCACGCAGAGAGTCCGACGTGGGACTCGATCCTGGGTCTCCAGGATCAGGCCGTGGGCTGCAGGCAGTGCTAAACTGCTGCACCACCTGGGCTGCCCCTCTTTTTTAGTTTTAAATAGGCTCCACATCAAATGTGGGCTCGAACTCATGACCTTGAGATCAAGAGTCACATGCTCTACCAACTGAGATAGCCAGGTGCCCCTGAATGGATTCTTATTATTCAAGAAATGGGGAAAGAAACTCTTCTCCTCTCTTTTCTACCACATCTGTATCTGCTCTATTTATATGCTCAAGTTAGTATTCCGATTCTATTGTTGGCTTAAAGAGGCTTTTTATGGGCTCATTACCATTTCTAGTAGTATATTAAGTGACAGGCATTCTGAATTATATAAAACTGACACATGAGGGCAGCCCCGGTGGCGCAGCGGTTTAGCGCCACCTGCGGGCCAGGGTGTGATCCTGGAGACCGGGGATCGAGTCCCACATCGGGCTCCTTGCTTGGAGCCTCTGCCTGTGTCTCTGCCTCTCCCTCTGCTTCTCCCTCTGCCTGTGTCTCTGCCTCTCTCTCTCTCTGTGTCTCTCATGAATAAATAAATAAAATCTTTAAAAAATAAAAATAAAAAAATAAAACTGACACATGACTCCAACAAAATACTACTTGGTGATAATTTCTTAAATTCATATACCTAAAAGAATATTTATAATTATAGATTTGCATCTTCCTTTGTTGTCTTCAATTACAGAATTGAATATTTCTTAATAAATTAGGGATCCCTGGGTGGCGCAGCGGTTTGGCGCCTGCCTTTGGCTCAGGGCCCGATCCTGGAGACCCGGGATCGAATCCCATATCGGGCTCCCGGTGCATGGAGCCTGCTTCTCCCTCTGCCTATGTCTCTGCCTCTCTCTCTCTCTCTCTCTCTCTCTCTCTCTCTGTGACTATCATAAATAAATAAATTTAAAAAAATTTAAAAAAAAATAAATTTAAGATGTAGGACTGCTGGAAATTTGCAAATTGGCAACCCAAGTCCAAGTGTCAAATATCTTCCTTTCCTAAGTCCCCACAATGCAACCAACAGAATGGAAGAAATTCTATACCACTGTTAGAAACTAAGTAAAGCAAATTCTTACCTATGTACTTGAATTTTCAAGAGATTTCCACAAAAAATAGGGCATTTGAGAATGCAGTCAGGTTAAGTAATATTTGCCATCATTCACAAAGACAGAGCCCACCATGAAAAGGAAAGGAATTTATGTTGACCTCAGAGCCCAGTCAACATCTCCTAGACTACACTGAAGATAAGCTGAAGAAATAACTCAAACGAACCTTAAACTTGCTGGAACTTCTAACCAGCACATGGAAAGACCACATAGAAAGGGTATCCTGCAGCCTGATCATACCCTACATGCAAAGCCCATAGGTAGGTGGATGGCTTGTGAAGATGTTAGTACTTGCAGGTAGTTTCCTGGAGATCAGTCTGCTACCTGCAATTATCTCAGAGCTGCAAGAGCTGGCATAAGAGAAGTTTCAGTGGTGACACACTGGTCAAATATTTGCCTTCCTCTGCCAATGGCTCTGCCCCTAACTTGTGGAAACCCGTGGGTTTCTATGCTGACAAAGAAAAAAATTACAATAAATCCAGAGGTTTCCCATTTCCTTTTACTAAGGGTTACAAGAAATGAAGAATATACAATTTGGCCACACATGTATCTTGAGAATTGATATCTATGTCACTCAGATATTTATAACTATGAGAAATAAATATATATATACACATATA